TGCTACAGCAATAATCAATACAGTCGTTTGAAATATCTACAGGAGAAGGTATGATCCAAAAAGTTTACAGTAAACACAGCATGAAGTGGTACAGAGCCCTCATCAACACATGACACTTATGACGTAGTTAAATGGACACCCGGGCCACATTTTACTTGAATCTAGAGCAGTAGAACAGTTAGTGAGCCAGAGTAGACGTCAATAGATTTTCTTCTTCTAAGGTCAGCACAATCCATTAAACCTGCATTAGCAGGCTTCTTGATTTCCACAATGAGAAAACGTCTGATCCAAATATCTGGCTTCTTGATTTCATCGTTGGGATGGCTGTTTGTGCTCTGCACCATGGCAATGGACTATTGGAGGATTACCAAACTCGGAGGGCAAGGAGGCTCGTACATCATCAAAGTGGCCTGGTACTGGTCCAACCTGTGGAGCGACTGTTACACAGATTCTGCGGCTGTGACCAACTGTAGAGATTACCCAGTGCTCTGGAATGTTGCTTGTATGTTGCATTTGCCTCACCAATAATTTTTATATAGATTATGTACATGCAGTCAGGTGATCAGTCATTAGTAATTTTTTTAAGTCTCATTCTTCAAATAATTGTACTCCTGACTATAATTCTGTCTGTTAATCTGTCACTTTGAATAGTATCGCCTAGTTTTGCAATGCTATTGATTAACAAATAGAGCATGCTGTTGTTCTGGATCCATATTAAAAGTTGCGTTGACTTTGCACCAGTTCCTAAAAGTGATACTATAACTCATTTGAGAAGAAAAGGTCAGATATGTGGGAATTTATAGAAACGTCTATAAATTACCCTGCAGACTTGCTTTAATATACTTAACCTATATTTGCTAATGCTAACTTTGAATATCTAAAAAATAAGAGCTTTCTCAGTGAGCTCACTTTATGACTTGGCTCTGATTTTGTTAAACTTCCAATTCTGGCGACAGTGGCAGCTGATCATAAAAGTTTACCTACACCCAATTTTTTTTGTAAACATATATTTATTGGATTTTGTATTCATAAATATCCAACACTTTAAATTTCTTGAACATACGGCAGTAAGAAAGCAATAAAAACACAAGACACTAAAAAAAAGAAATAGCCCGCCTAAAAAAAGCAACTAAACTGAAACAAACAAAAGACCAAAAAACAAATAAAACAACAACCAAGAACAAAATACAAAATAAAAACAGATCAGGTTACGGTATACATTCCCAAATTTAGTTACATATTTTCCATTACCTTACTCTCTCGCCACCTTCTCAACTTCCCCATTTTTTAATAGATCCAGAAACATCTTCCAAATGTCAAAAAATTCTGAAGATCTTTTCCTAAATACAGTTCTCAAGAACTAAACTTGATGTTACATTATTTATCCATTAACCAATGGTTAAACAATGGCCCCCCATTAACCAAAGAGGGGCCACCAACAATTCTTCCAGCATACTGCACTACACCATTTGGCCTGGAGTAAGTAAAGGTCAACCATCTTCCTCTCTGTGTGAGCGAAATTACAGTCATCTGGATAAATGCCTAAAATACAGACCTTAAGACTTAACACTATATTTTAACACTGAGCACCAAAACCTTTGAATCTTTTACGTACACCCAAATTAAGGTGTTTCCATATTCCTTAAGTCAGTTGATTGAAGGTCATGGTCTCCCCATGACCATGTATCAGATAGGCAGAAGAAAGTGGATGGTTGGATGGATTCAACAAAATATATAATGTACCCTGATGGGTTTAAAAATATTCTTATTGCGTCTATAAATTCAATCTTCAAATATTCTGGACTTTATGAAGACTGCTAAAGAATACTTAAAAGAGATCATCTTTTGTACAATATTCTTCAACCATATCCAAAAGAGGGATTTATTCATATTTTTATTGACTCCCAGATTCAATGAAATAAAAAGACTTGGTGCAGCATTATGTCATCCAAGCATCGCCAAGCATCTGCTGATTGAATCTTTACAAATCTGAGAAAACATTGCAGAAACCATTGTAGATCACAATCTCTGCACTGCATAGCTGTTTTTATAGCTGTTTTATTTATACTGGTCTGATTTGATTCTCATATCAACCCCTTGTTGTTTATTATTTTTTCTCATTTTCTCCTTTCTGAACTCTTTTTGATTTGAACAGATTACGTGCAGGCAGTGAGAGGATTGCTAATGTGCGGGTTAACTATTGGATTCTTTGCTGTAGTGTGCTGCTTTGTCGGGATGGAGTGCACTTACATCGGCGGATCTGACAAAACCAAGGACAAACTGCTCTTTGCCGGAGCAGTGCTTCATTTTGTTGGTGGTAAGCTTTGAACATACGCCGTGCTTCTCTCTGTAAATGTTTTGCCATCATTTTTTTTCCTCTGTTCACCGAAACCTCTTCACGCAGGTATGTCAGACATTGCTGCCTACTGCTTATACATCAACAGAATTGCCAGGACAGCTTTTGCTCGAAAGGTCGCATCAGGAGTTTTGCGGTACTGCTTTTTCCACTCCATACACCGTAGTCAAAGGAGCTTGCAAAGAAAAGCGTCTGGACTTCTTTAAGTTGCTTGAAGACGTTTCACCTCTCATCCGAGAAGCTTCTTCAGTTCTAAGGTCAAATGGTGGAGAGTCCCAGATATAAACCTAGTGGGAGTATCTCCCCACAGAGGGACAAAAGGACCCCCTGATGATCCTCTAATCACCTGAGCCAAGGTGTGAAATTGGGTGCGGGCCCCAATCATCTATGTCCACTGTGAGCGACCATCTTTGAACAGAGGCGGGGGTTTACGACACCAACTCTCTGCCATCTATAATCCAGTTTTGAGATCCCTTCCCAGACGCCTTAACGCCCACTCACATCCTGGGCCATCTGACCTCAGGAATTCGCATGACAAGGTGAGGCCAGGTTTCACAATGAACCCACCTGAAACTCTGGCTGATTGGGGCCCGCACCCAATTTCACACCTTGGCTCAGGTGATTAGAGGATCATCAGGGGGTCCTTTTGTCCCTCTGTGGGGGGAAACTCCCACTAGGTTTATATCTGGGACTCTCCACCATTTGACCTTAGAACTGAAGAAGCTTCTCGGATGATAGGTGAAACGTCTTCAAGCAACTTAAAGAAGTCCAGACGCTTTTCTTTGCAAGCTCCTTTGACTACGATGACCTGGATGACTGAGAACCTTCACAGACACACTCCATACACCATTTTACATAAAATCTTTTCAAATTATAGACATATCTGCTATAAATTTTGCAGTAACTTATATTATTTAAATGATAGCATGATTTTCTCCTCGTCCTTTCACTTCTTCCAGATATGAATTAGGATCTCCAGTTTTTCTAGGATTGGCAGGAGGCTTTTTCATCCTAGTCGGGGCTGTTCTTTATGCTGTGACAGTGTATAAAGTAATCCGCAGAAAAAGGTACCTAAATTATTCCACTTTAATCCCTTTTCTTGTCTCTACTACCACTACATCATATAATTAACATCATCAATGTTTTGAATTTTACAGCAGAGTAGTACAAGCCTGTGATGCTCACACGTACATGGCGCCTCCATCCAGAGGAAGAACCATTTATTCCGGATACTACAAACCCTCCAAGCTGTATGGGTCTAACTATATGGGCTCAGGACGATCAAGCGCCCAACTTTCAAAGCTTCAGGCAACACCAACGAAACCCTCAGACAGAGATGCATTTGTCTAGTTGGTCTGTTTTAACTCAAACAGACACTGCAATAGTTAAACTTGTAGATAGGAGGAAAGTAATTTTTTGTCATGTTTTGTTTCCTTTAGATCGCTTCATACTCAGTCATATTCACCTCGTGAATAAAACAGATGTGCAGTCTTAGTCTTGTGTTTGTACCAGTGGTTGTCATAGTCTTGTGTTTACACTTATGTTATAATTGCTGTGATTTAACCAAAAGCATTTTCTGTCATTAAGAATCTCACTGAAACACCTATGACGATGAACAGATGTATATATCAATTAATATATCAATATCACTTTGATCACCACCACACTGCTCAGTTTAAACCTTCGATAAAGATGTCCAATATTTTATTGGCAAAATCACACCTTTATAAAGATATTAGTGCAATTATTATGCATTTCATCCAAAGAAATGAGTCTTCTCCTTGTTTTATGTGTAAAGTAACAACTCAATGGTGCACAAAACTAAAACTATTCTCGTCGGGAGACTGAGTATCAACAACAGCCACGCTGATGGAAATGATCTTTCCAAAACAAACAGGTGCAGTCTGAGGCATAACATGTTATGGTGTTCTCTTGTAGTTGTGTGTCTGTGTTTAAGTGTGTATAAAGAGGACTTGGAGAATTAAAAAAAAAAAAACAGATGAAAGATAGATAAACCTGTGTATTTATACAGAGGTCAACACATGAAAAGTGGCACTGTACAAGATTTTAAACTTTATTTTGAATGGCTTAAATAAATGTTCTCTGAATGAGAAAACTTGTATTTTGACTCCTTCTTCTTTGACTATATAAACAACAGCATCATCCTGCAAGCTATTAGACTTCAAAATATAATTTAAAAAATGAATGTATAAATCACATTATTAATCATAGCTGTTAATTACTTAATGTGTATATTACTTGCAGCTTGCAGCTGGAGATGATTTTAGTGAACTTTATACTGCTGGTAAGTTTTGTTAATAATATATGCTTATATATGAGTAGATGTGTATTAACATTAAAAGGTTAAGTATGTAAATAGTATGGATTCATTGGTGCATCACTAATAATTCAGGTAATGAAATCCTACCTAGAAGGCTTATTATTTATTTATTATTTATACTGTTCCTTCTCAAGTAGCGTTTCAAATAGAGAAATGTTTTGTCACGTATCTAAGTGACTTCTTCAGGGGGGCGGTGCCACTGCATGCCCTCCTCTATTCAGCACGTGAGAAGGGAGTTCAAAGAACACAGTTCTGGAAAAAATGCACTGTGGTTTGTGTTAAGGAGCTTAGATTTGTTAGTAGTCTGTCTTGGTGCTGAAATCTGAAGCAATAATGGGTTATAGGACTATGGTGATGTACATGGAGATAGGCTGCTTTGTAGTATGTGTGTGTGGATGGATTCTGGTCTGCTCCACAATGCCAACAGATATCTGGACCTGGTCTGAAGTCAGCAACGTGGTCCTGGCAACATCAAACTACTACTCGAACCTGTGGAAGGACTGCATATCTGATTCAACTGGAGTATCTGACTGCAAGGGAATTCCCTCCATGCTGGCACTGAACTGTAAGCAAACCGTCCCTCAGAATGATAAAAACCCAGTGAACTTAGTGCCTTTAACTGCTTTTTTTCTGCTTGTGGACAGGGGACATTCACATGTGCCGGGCTCTTATCATCATCTGTATTATCCTGTGTTTCTTCGGATCAATTTTGGTCTTAGTTGGAATGAAGTGCACTAAGATCGGAGGGTCCGAGCTTGCTAATGCAAGAGTAACCTTTGCCGGAGGGATGAACTACCTTATAGGAGGCAAGACAGAAATTTGTTTGAACTGAGTCACATTGTTAGATATTGCACTGTTTAATATTTAAGTAATTGTGTGAGTATTGTTTCAGGGATGTGTTCTATGATTGCTTACTCCTACTATGGAAACAAAATAAGAGCTGAGTTTGAAGATCCAAACTACATGGAACAGAAGTATGTAGCAGATATATATGATAAGTCTGCGTACTTGATGACTCACATTTAGATCATTGTTTTTCCTATGAGGGAGAATTGCACTTGAAATATTATTGTATTTATTGGCAGGTTTGAAATAGGAGTAGGTGTCTTCATTGGCTGGGGAGGCTCTACCTTACTTATTGTTGGAGGACTTATTTACAGTATCTTTGCAGGAAGAGAAGGGTGTCACTCAAGGTAAAATACTGCTTCTGTGTCATTTGTTTGTTTGTTGTTGTTTTTATAATTAGCCAACCTCAGTCTGCAATATACAATAAGAGTCATGAATTCATTTTCGGAATTGTACCTTGACAGCTCAAAGAGGTACGCTACGCATCAGTTCCAAGATGCCTACACTTTTGTTCCAACACAAAAAAGCGTTGTGTCTTTGGCTTCCACAGAGATTAGTAGGAGTAAAAAACCAAGGACGATCAGCAGCAGCAGAGCCAGTAGCATCTCAGAGATCAACAGTGTCACCAAGACATCGGTCACTTATTCATATGTGTGACTAACCTACACAGAATTATTTTTGTTTTTCTTTCACAAAGAATGTGTGTTTTTACTTTGAGAGTCAAAAATGTCAAATCAAGTATTTGTCTTTACAACACTTTCGTGATTATGAAACCAAAAGTGTTACTAATAATAATACGGGCATCCTGAAACAATGGAATTTTTTTTTTATTGATGGCAACACAGCTTCAAGCTACTTCTAAGAGCTGTTTAAGCTTTCAACTGTGACATGACATGACATATTTACTACATTAATTTTTCCACTATCATGAAACAAAATTGTGTTTTCCCTGCATCTGCATCAAGGTGCATCATTTAAAATTAATAAAGCATAACAGAAATGTAAAGTGCACATTTGCGTATGAATGGTGGTGCTTTGTTTGCATATTGAGGAGAACACATTGAACTTGGGTTTTGAGGGGTACCTCCCCAGGGAATTTTGAGTATCGAACGCACCATTTTTTCCTTCTGGTTACTTTTATTAATCACACAGTTTGTACTTTTTTTTTTTTGAAGCAGTTTATATAGAAATTATCTTTATTCTTAAAGACAATAAAACAATAGAGAGTAATGAGTTGGCAATTTTGTTTAACGAGAGGCTACTTTTTGTCTGTCTTTGGTACGAGGAAATAATGTATTGAACTTCACATACTGTTCATATTCTATACCTGGACCGTATAGTCTGGGTCATAAGTTCCTTCATAATAAGGATTTACAACAGCTGAACTACACACCTATTTTTTTTAGGTTTTACATTACTCAGTTCTTATGTCCTGTTTTATCTAAGACATGAAAACACAACAGCTATAACAATTTAAATATGTCAAGAGACGCTGTGTGGCAGGCAGGAGTTGGACCCAAGATGCAGGCACTCAGGCACAAGGTTTAAACACAAAGAACTCAGCTTTATTTACTGGCAGGGAAAAAGCATACAAAAGCAAACTAAACTAAACTGGAAAAATCACAAACTAAACTCACAGGGAGACACAGGGAGATCCACACAGCATGAGGGACGACGTGACACTGACTCAGAGAAACACAGGGCTTAAATACAATGGGAAGTAATGAGGGCAGTGGGACACAGAAGGAGGGCACGGCTGGGAGAAATCAGAACTGACGAGACAAGGAAGCAAAGCAGAACACATTCACATAAGACACAGACCTTCAAAGTAAAACAGGAAGTATAACACAGAGACCCAAACTTGACACGGAGGAGACAGCAACTAAGAAACACAGAGACATAAACCATAAAGCAGAGTACTCTAAGAACCAAAATACACAGAGGGAAATACTAAGCTTGGAACACAAACTAGACTCGAGGGAGTAACAAAAGACCAACCATGAGAACATAATTCACAATACAGAGTGACAGAAAACACAAGAAACTCAAAACATGCAAAGACACAGACCAAGAAACACAGACTTACACAGAACAGAGGGGGCACAGAGAAACATGAAGGGCAAGGGATCCAAACTAGAAACAATAGAATAAATCACACGAGCACAAAATACAAGAATCACAAATAACTAAAAACGCTGGGTCAGGAGACCCAGGGTCCCGACAAAATATATGAATCTGAAGGTGACATACAAGTGTTTCCCACACTTATTGAAATGGCAGCTCAGGTGACTTTACAATCTTATGACCCCTAGGCCTAAACCCTAAATCTCTGTTTTAATCTCAGTTCAGGTAATCTCAGTTAGCTAAGAATAAATGGATTTGAATTTTTTTTATTGTTATATTAACATTAGCATTAGCATTTGTGCTTGCGCATGCAAAGCAGAAGCACCAACAGCGTCATGTAATATACTTGCATTTATGTGGCACTTTCTAATGTTACTGATAAACTCAAAGTAACTTTAATTAAAGGTCACACTTTAACCATACATTCATACAGCACTTTCAATTCAGTTTTATTTATGTAGCCCCAAATCATAACAACAGTTGCCTTAAGGTGCTTTATATTTTCAGGTAAAGATCCTACAATAATACAGATATATTCCCAAATATCAGATAACCCCCAATGAGCAAGTTCTTGGCAACAGTGGAAAAGAAAAACTCCTTTTTAACAGGAAGAAACCTCCAGCAGAACCAGGCTCAGGTAGGGGCAGCCATCTGTCTCCATTTAGTAGGGGTGAGGGGCAGGAGACAGAACAAAAAACACACCATGGAAGAGAGCCAGAGTGGCACATAAACGCATAGTGAGTGAAAAGCTTTATTCTCTGCACTCCAAGCGCTTTATCTACCTCACATTCACAGCCAGCTTTGCATCACCAATTAGCCTGACATTCATGTCTTTAGATTGTGGCAGGAAGCTGGAGTATCTGGAGAAAACGCACATCAGGTACTGGAGCTGGTCAAATATGCAAACACCACACACAACCAGAAGCTTTTTCTGCTATGAGGTGAGAGTGCTAAACACCACTCTATTTCTGATCTTGCGTCTGTGTCGAGGAATCCTCTGACATCTGTTCTTTATGTGCCTGTATATGATCTTATCTTCTGTGCTGTCTGGCTGTTTCACTTTTGCCCGTCACTCTCTTGCCAAACAGACCAGAAAGTTATGCAACATTAGTTCAAGAATGATCAACCAAGCAACAACACATATATAAAGTAGCTCACAACATCCTAATAGAAGATATTGTGTGTTCCGCGGGGATACTGATGTCCAGTGTGATTTTATAAACTCATAACTGATATTCAAAAATATCTTTATAATTTTGAGAAAAACTTACATACAAATTACAATCTTTGCAACAATGACTGCCACTCTCTACTTATCCCTCCTGACTGATTTTCTCAACTTTTGTTGTTGTCCTCATGACTGCTGGTGGCATGAGACTGTAGCTTGCACAAATGTCTAGCTTCTTGATGACTGCACATCAATAATTGGTACTACAATATTTGTTGTGTTTGCCAGTAAAGTCTCGAGCATATGGAGGATATACCCAGAGATTGGTCATTACATGTAGAAGGCTCGACAGGGAAACGGGTGTCAACCCAGCTGCAGGACCGACATTTCCTCTTTCGTTTGAGGAGAAACAGGAGGAAAATTGCCAGAGCTCTACAATGTGACCTCCAGTGAGCTACTTATCCATGTTCCTGACCAAACTGTCAGACTCTGTGAAGTTGGCATTAAGGTCTGGCATCCTGGAACCTATTCTCACAGCATAGTACTGTGTAGGGTATTTACACTGATGACTCTTTGGATATCGTGCAAAGAGGTCTGATTTCTTATTCACATTAATCTCAGACAACCAAATACTATTACTGAAAGATATATACATACATACATACATTTTCTTCCGCTTATCTAATTCAGTGTCGCGAGGCAGCTGAGATAGGCTCCAGCCCCCCTGCGACCCTGAAATATATATCATAATAAAAAGTTAACTTATACATATACATAATAAAATAAAGTATTTTTCATTTCCCAGTTACTTAGTGAATATCACCAATCAATTAAAATCACAGTTTTGTATCATAATAATCATTTACCATCTAAGTACGTAATGAGCCTTCTCCTGCCATTCCATCAGAAGCCTGGGCACCAACAACAAACACAATGACCAAGGTGATCTTTACAAAACACATGGAAGACAGTAAAAGGTTAAACATGTTTTGATATAACCAAGTGTGTCCTCTCATGTTTGCCTGTGTTTGGATGTGTTTTTCTGCCTGAAGTCAGTAGCTAATGAAGGGGTTAAGCGCAGACAGTTCTGGGACACTGTTTAGGAGCTTAGATTTATTAGTACTCTGTCACATGTGCCGGGCTCTTATCATCATCTATATTATCCTGTCTTTCTTCGGATCAATTTTGGTCTTAGTTGGAATGAAGTGCACTAAGATCGGAGGGTCCGAGCTTGCTAATGCAAGAGTAACCTTTGCCGGAGGGATGAACTACCTTATAGGAGGCAAGACAAAAATTTGGGTGAACTGAGTCACATTGTGATAATAATAATGATGGATTGCATTTATATAGCGCTTTTCAAGGCACCCAAAGTGCTTTACAGTGCCACTATTCATTCACTCTCGCATTCACACACTGGTGGAGGCAGCTACAGCTGCCTTGGGGCAGACTGACAGAAGCGAGGCTGGCATATCGCGCCATCAGCCCCTCTGGCCAACACCAGTAGGCAGTAGGGTAAAGTGTCTTGCCCAAGGACACAACGACCAGGACAGAGAGCCCCGGGATCGAACCGGCGACCTTCCGGTTACAGATACGCTTCCCAAGCGCCTGAGCCACGCTTTCTCTCTCTCTCTCTCTCTCTATCTATCTCTCTCTCTCTCTCTCTCGCCGTCACGCCTAAAGCTTCCCCTCTTCCTAAACAACCAAATGTCATGTTGCCATATCATTTTTTTTAATTGGTCGGCATGGTGCATTTTTCCACCAACACAAACGAGCTGTTTTTGCTTCTTTTTTTTTTAAATTTTGGTTATAAGCAGAGAGTGCTTGCTGCGCTGTCCTTAGACAGTAAACGTGACGAAACTATTGAGGAAAAAACGCCACGTATATATTGTTTATCATGACTCTGGTTTTACAAGGCCTATCAACACAATTTAAAAACTGGTATACAGTATATCACTTAGTTGCTTTGTAATCTTGAAGTGGTCATGTAATTGGCTTACCACGACTACTTTATTCTTCCTCAGTCAAACAGCAGCACACATGCGATTGTTTTGCCCCCCTAGCTCCAGGTGTTGTGCCAAAAAGTGATCGTCTGCCAGAAAACGATTGCCCTCCATGGGAGCGCTTAGCTGCTTAAAGCTGTAGCGCCCAGATCACTTACGTAGACAGCTACTCCGTCTGTTTGCTGAAAAATAGTAACGCGACAGCATTGCATTTTCTTGCTAGTAAGTAAGTAAAATAAGTAAGTAAAATTTTATTTATATAGCACATTTCTAGATAAAAGATCACAAATTGCTTCACAAGGTATAAAACAAAAACAGACAAAAGTTAACAAAATGCACTTCTAAAAAGATGTGTAACGGTAACAGCGTTGCAACGATAGGAATAGTAAGTAGTTAGATTACTCGTTACTGAAAAAAGTAATGCCGTTAGTAATGCCGTAAATTGTAACACCGTTATTCCCATCACTGCTAATAAGTAACATGCCATCCATCCATCCATTTTTTTCCGCTTATGCAGTAGCCCAAGCAGAGAAGCCCAGACCTTCCTCTCCCCAGCCACCTCTTCCAGCTTATCCGGGGGAACACCAAGGCGTTCCCAGGCCGGCCGAGAGATATAATCTCTCCAGTGTGTCCTGGGTCTGCCCCGGGGCCTCCTCCCAGTGGGACATGACCGGAAAACCTCACCCAGGAGGCATCCTTGTCAGATGTCCGACCTCAGCTGGCTCTTTTCGATGTGGAGTAGCAGCGGCTCTACTCTGAGCCCCTCCCGAATGGCCAAACTTCTCACCCTATTGCTAAGGGAGAGGCCGGCCACCCATCAGGGGAAACCCATTTCCGCCGCTTGCATTCGCAATCTCGTTCTTTCGGTCACTACCCACAGCTCGTGACCATAGATGAGGGTAGGGATGTAGATCGACCGGTAAATTGAGAGCTTCACTTTTACGCTCAGCTCTCTCTTCACCACGACGGACCTGTGCAGCGTCCGCTTCACTGCAGCCGCTGCACCAATCCATCTGTCGATCTCCCGCTCCCTTCTCCCATCACTCGTGAACAACATGTAACATGGATGTTAGGAAATCTAGTGACACATATTCCACTACCGTCCGGTGCCATTGAGTCTTACATGGGGCCATGTCTGTGATCCAGTTCAAAAGGACACATTTCCTTGCGCAGAATGTTAACAGCACATAGAGCTGCTTTCCAAACTCCCCCCTCATTTTGTCCTTCGCCACTCCAAGCAGCATACACAATGGATTGCATTCAGTGTCAGTGGTGAAAATCTTATCCAGTTCACACTTTATGACAAACCAAAATTGTTGTATTATCTGGCAGGACCATAGTGCATAAGGTTGCCCACCTCTATTTTACATTTAGGGCACATAGAGAAAGGCCTGAATTGTATTTATGGCATTGAGAAAGTGATATGTGAGCTCTGTGTAGAATTTTAATTTGGATTGCCTTTACTTTATTACAGATGCTCAGAGATTTAGCATTCTCACAGGCTTCTTCCCAGACCTCGTCAATAATCT